ATATAAGCTTCAATTTATTGGCGTTTCATTAATTATTTTTTGATCTATTTTCCCAGCATACCGAAGAATTGTTATACATCTGCAGGTTTTATTGTTTTAGCTTTACGCTTCTGGATCTATGTCTAAAAATGTTTTATCTATCGATTTACCTTAATTACTATCACCAGTGGTTTTTTTTGGGTCCTTCGAACCCTTAAGAGGAGAAGAGGATTTGCAGTGCATCTTTAATTTCTCTGGGGTTGCACTTGTCCATGGGCGTCGTCAATCACATCAGGTAAGCCGATTACTCGTTTTTTTTTAAAAATTTTTTCTTCAGTTTGTTGAATAATAGTACGGCGGGGCAAGCAGGTTATACCTGAAATTGTTTTCGAATTTGATTCGATTTTTGATCAAAGCTGAAAGCTGTTATCAGCACCGTTAGTCACATCCGAATATTTCATTATACGGATATCATTTTTATTAATTTAAAAATTTACTTCTTAAATATTCGTTACATAAATAGGACAAACTAATGAATTGGTCACATCTACGTGCGATTAATAGCGCCATCTAGAAGCGGACAACAGCTAACTACGTTATCAGCAGTTTGAAATTTAAATGAGTTCTAATAAAATTCGATTGATTTAGAACTCGATTCTGTCGGAAGTAGGCCGGAAGAATCCCAACTGTTCAATGATCAGTGATGTGGAGCCACTTCAACGGTCAAAGTTGCAAGATATGTAGGTATAATATTATATAGCGTAAGAAAATCCAACGTCGTTGTCCTGTGGGTCTCATATATGAGTTGACAGATGAAAATATACACAGGAGATGCGTAACAACAACAACAATTGATAACAGCTCAAAATAATACTTAAAATAATTAATATTTCAGACTGCAAAATACGGAGACCACTTCTTTCCACTTGCTACGATCCTTACATACTTGTTTTGCTTCGTCCACTTTCATTATTCCCTTCATACATGCTCTACTATTTAGGGTACTCTTGACCTGGCCTTTTTTCAGGACGTCCCTGATTTGGTCTAGAAATGTCCGCCTAGGTCTACCCCTTCCAACACTTTCATTCACACTCGCCTTATACACTTTTTTCGTCAATCGTTCTTCATTCATTCTCTCGACATGGCCAAACCATCTCAGCATACCTTTCTCAATTTTTGTCACTTCATCTTCTTGGTCTCTGCCTACCCCTACGGGAAAGAGGCGTGATTATATGTATGTATGTATGCAAAATACAGGTTTGTTCTAGTTTGGGGTCCACCGGAGAATATTTGTATATCTTTTCTTGAATATTGTTTAACTCACATTGTACATTTGTTAATAATCTTTATATATAAAAATTACGTTCACGTTGTTTGTCCGCGATGAACTAAACTGCTGAACTGATTTCAATGAAATTTTGCACACTGTGTGCAGTTCGGTCCATCTTGAAGATAGGATAGTTTTTATCTTGATAAGTGACGCTCAATATTTTTTTATTACGAATTTAAGGATTTTTTATATGAAGGGTCGTCGAAAAAGGCAGAACAACGTCTGCCTGGCCAGCTAGTATACAATAAAAAAATATTTTTGTATTTACTATGACAAAATATCCTCACTGTGAGTCAATGTATGGGGGTGGGGAGCTATTTTCGGCAATGGATTCAATAGCTTGTAATGAATTAATTAATATATTACACGTATATTTATTGTTATTAGCGTTCCAAAGTTATATAGTTGTTAGCTTGTTAGCTTTTATTTTTGTTAATAAAAAAGTTATACTTAGTTGTTAATAAGCGCTAAGCTGATTTTAATTTTATGATCGTTCAATCGATTTACCTATTAATAATAATTCAAATGCTGGTTCTTATTCGTGATCGAACCAGCTCTGATGGTTTGTTTTATCTAATACATTTACAAATACATTATGCTAATCTTTCATTCCTTTTTTATGTTATCATTATTTTCTAATCTAAGACAAAATGGATGAATCATAAGAGATCTAATGACCAAATGAATAAGCAAAAAAGTAAAAAAATTAAAAAATAAGCAAATAAAAATATGCTAGAGGTGACATACTTGACCCTTGATAAAATTTTCGATTTTGATTTTACAATTATATTATGTGTGATTTATTCCTTTTATATTCTCATATAATTATAATAAATTTAGGAATTGTTATCCGAGTCACTTCATCCCACATTGCAAGTACCTACAGATTTCACTTTTTCCATACACAGTACCAACCGAGCTCAGAGTTCATTTAACGGTAAGTGATTCTGTGGCCGATAGACACGTAACTTTCCTTGCTTAAAATTCAAAGGCAAATGCGTTGTCACTCAAGTTTCCTTGATTTAAAATCAAAAGGCAACTGCGCGATCACTTGTGAGGGCTAAGACGGAAATCAAGAATAGCAGATATCACACTTTCATAAAAATCCGTTTACTATGTATTATATTTATTTATTTATAAGGGTCACCGACAGATGATACACAAACACTAAAAACAAGATACAAGCATTGTGCATGTATAATAGAATAGAATTAAAAAAAAATTGATTTAGCGATCACCTCATTTTCAGAGGTTATCTAAATTTATGAACATTATTAATATCTATTATATAACTAGCTGACCCGACGAACTTCGTACCGCCTAACAGTACATTTTTTAATACTTATTCTGCTATTCGGGCCACCAGGTCAGCTAGTTAGATAAAAAAAGAAAAAATAAAGTTGATAAGTCAACAAATGACAAAAAATAAAAATTATAAATGTTTTGCCTTCCCGGAAACTCTTCACTAACACTTAGACTTTATGGTATGGTATTAAATCTCAAATTGACTTTTAAGTATTATTACGAATTTTTTGTATGGGAATATAGAAAAGTGTTGTTTTTAGACTTTTTCAAGCAATATTTTAAATTTTTCTCTCCGTAAGAACCATCTTCGTACTTCAAGGAATATTATAAAAAAAGAATTAGCGAAATCGGTTCAGCTGCTCTCGAGATTTGCGCTTAGCAACACATTCAGCGATTCATTTTTATATATATAAGATATGCAGGAAATGACTTTTACAATGTATGCACTGTATAGTACTATTATATATGCATAAGATGACTTTTACTTCCTTCTTATTCTTTTCTTCTTTATCAACCTGTAAAAGTCTGCTGGACAAAGTCTTCTCTTATTGCAAAGAGAACTTGCCATAATTGCCACGCTTAGTAGGGAGATTAACGATCGCAATAAGTACCAAAAAATAGCAAAATAGCAGCTTAATACAGCTGTGTTTCGTTTGGTGAGTGTTGAAAACCGGAGACCTTTTTAACTGGAAAAGAGGCTTTCCATCTTAGTCCTCACGGGTGTCAACAACTCATTTACATTTTATTTCGTAATCGAGGATAGATGTAGATGTCTATGCGCTACAGCAACCACTTACCATCAGGTGGAATGTGTGCTCATTTGCCACGCTTATCCTATAAAAAAATACCAGAAGCCTGGCATCTTTGAAGCTACTCCCTGTTGCCGTTGTCTATCTTAAGGCATGAGATCTTTCTGGGACTTTCCGTAGTCGCTTTTTTTTATAGGATAAGGGTGACAAACGAGCACACAGTCCACCTGATGGTAAGTGGTTGCTTTGGCGTATAGACATCTACATCTATCTTCGATTACGAATCAAAGTGCAGATGCGTTGTCACCAGTGAAGACTAAGATGGAATGCCTCGTTTCCAGTAAAAAGGGTCTCCGGTTCTCAACACTCACCATACGAAACACAGCAGTATTAAGCTGCTATTTTACATTGGTATTCTGTGAGAGCGTGGTCCTTCCCCGAGGTCGAGCCGACCCATTCGTGCTACAACTATACTACTAATAGCTGCAGCATGGCTCTACCACGTATAAGATACCAGTGTAAAGAAATTGGGGTAATAGATTATCTTATATCACCACCATATTGCAAAAGTCTAGTTTCCCTAGGAACCAAGTAATTATTGAGGTTCAAATCCAGTAGGGGTTAAAGAGTATTGGAATTATGATATCAATATATTAACCGCATAATATTGTAGTGAGTTATAATTACATAATTTATGTAACAATTTTTTTCAATTTCTCAGATTTGTTGAATCAGAAATTGAAATTACAATAAATTATTTAATTGGTGCCGGCGCGATGGAACTTGGTTTGCTCGTGTACCTACGTATTAAAAGTTTTAATAAGGCAAGTTATCATCCCCTGTCATTATATTCTGCCTGCATAGTTGTAGTAATGAGAGGCCTGTGCCCAGCAGTGGGACATACTTTATACTTAAATTTTAATTTTAATAAATATTAAAAATGACGGATGTTCGTATGAATGACCAGTACACTGAACTACATGAAAATCTTTTTGTATCTCAAATAAATGTCTAATAACCTTGATGTTTTAAGATTTAAATTTTATATAACATAGTATATACAAAATATATTGGAGTCAGTTCCTCATTTTTTCATATATTCCTTCTTCAAGGTAACCTTACTAATAACATATTATTCAACAAAATTTTAAATGTCAAAATTGGTATTAGTTACGCTTACATAATATGTACATATTATTATGTAATTACTCTAAGGTTAAGCTTCAATCCAATACAATGATGACACCAGTCTGTGACTCACTGGACATGCACTGACCGTAATGTTCAAGTTATAAACACGCCATCTATTTATTTCCTATGGAAATATTAAACATTTTACTCCACTTAAATTCAATACAACTTACTTTCCACGTAGCTCCATACATAACCGACAGATGGGGGTAATGACGGGTATTAAATATATAATTTTATATTGTATTAAGTACCTATCTAAATAAATAAAGCTCTGATAATATTTTTTTATTACTATCTTCTAAATAAATAAATACATTCACTGATTTTTTTAATATGCTAGAACAAATAAAAGTTTTAACTTATTTCATATACAATACAGCCTTCAATAATAGTACCTATGTAAGTTAAAAATTAAAAATTAAATAGCTACAGGTTTTTTAAAATTATAGACATTCAATAAAAAGTGGGAAACAATCTTTTAAATTGTCATCAGTCACTGCTTTTGCTATTGGTGAATGTGTATTCCTCAGTTTTATTTTTGTATTGTCATTGAAAACAACCTCATTAAAGGAATCCACTATGAGGTTGTTATGAGGGTGTGTTATTATTTTATCAGGCATCGGTAACTGTTTTGCGTGGCCACTTATGAAGCCAAGTTGTCTGCAAATACCTTCAAGTTGGGACTTAGTGTGGTTTTGCGAGGAGAAACATTTCGTGTACCAAACTCCATGAGATCGCACTATCACCTTGCCCTTACCATAACTGGAAATGAATTCAAATTAAATACAGGACACATGCCAGAAAATAAAAATAAAAATTCAACATCCATCACCACTGCCAGAGAATCCTTTACTGAATGAATATAGATTAATAAATAATTATCGTGGATATCGGAAAAAGCAAATACTAGGATTATAGACATTAAAGTGATCTATTTAACCTCGATAGATTGTCGTATAACCATTTTACGTGATTGCATCTTTCTTAAGTAGTAGAGTCGCGCTGCAGCAAAATATGTCTGCAGCTCGAATATTTCGGACCAAACGGGTATGGAGCACACTCAAAATATTAGAAATAGCAACATAGGTAATTGTTGCTGTGTTCCTTATAGTGAGTGATGTGAATCGGAGACCATTTTTACTGGTAACGAAGCATTCCATCTTCAGGGGTGACAAAGCATATGTATTTGGTTTCAGAATCAAAAACAGATGTAAATGTCAATTGGGCTACTGCATTAAATTATTATCAGGTGGGGCGTAATGTCAGCTGCACATTTATTATCGGTGAGAAGAGTAAAAGATGATCTGTTATTGTGCCCGCTTGTCAAGCGAGGCGATTACGCCAAAAGCTCCTTGCTGTGAAAATTCCGAAAACCGATAAATCCTATATGATAGGATGATAAATTATATGAACCAGATAAACCAGTTGAAAAATCTTAGGGAATACATGAAAGAGGTGACCTCTTCCATGTATTCCCTAAGATTTTTCAGTCTGCTACTCAACGGCTACTGCACGTCATGAACACGTACAACCAACTTCGAACAAAGACTAGCAAGTACTTTGTTAAATGTGAGTACACAAGACAAGGGTGATAATCGAGTACATACCAACTGATGATAGTAAGTGGATGCTGTGGCCTATAGACATCACATATAATCATATAGATTCGTTGTCACTCCTGACTACCACGATTGAATAACTAGATAACAGTGAAAAGGGTCTCCGCTTCCCCTGTATATTTCGGAATTTTTTCCAGAAAGAGTCCAGATAGCTTTCAGAAGATTATAGTTATTTATAGTAGAACAATATTTTAGGAATAAATTAATTTCATTTTATAATTTACTATTTATGCGTTGTAGTGCCTCTTTTCTGTGAAAAACTTCCCGGTTACAAATTTACAAAACTTTCATGTAATAAAATGAATGGTATAGGATCGCATAGAAGACCACCAAACTAAATAATATTCATTTTGCTCCATAAGATTACAAAATAATTCATGTTAAAAGAGCAAAATATTAATAAATAAAATTTGTTAAGTGTAGATATAATGTTAGGTATATTTAAAACGTATATAGTACTTACGGTGTGCCCTCAGGAGCACTTAACGCAAGACATGTGTTTTCATCTTCTCCATTAGGACAATCACGTATGCCATCACAAACCATATCAAAAGCGACACAATTACCTTCCACTGAAGCTCTATTACACCTGCACATGAATAATTTATTTATATATTTTTTATTTCCTAAAGAAGGAAAATACTTAAATTATTATATACATGTAGTGTAATAAGCAATTAGAAGGTATGTGACTCAACAATAAAACAGATAGCAATCTAATTAAAGAAGTCAAGCCTTATTCCCTTTACGTTTTTTTGTACATACCATGTTTGGGAAATAAATTGATTTAAATATATTTGTCTTAAGAAATTTAATTATTGTACGATAAAACTTTCATCTTCAAAAGTCTTTAAATATGGAAACAATAAGGATAACTTAAAAAAAGTTTACCTACATAAAACTGTGCTTAGCAAAACATTTGCAAAACTTAGGATTTTCATCACTCCTATCATGGCAATGAAGTACTCCGTCACAAAGTCTCGAAGGCATGACACGACCGAGATAATCGGAACAAATCGTTTGGCCAGGTTCATCGGTACCATCCTCGCAATCGTCTTGGCCATTTTTGAATAATTCTTTTGGTATACATCTGCCGTTTTGACATTTTAGTTGATCAACCGTACAGTCTGTAATTCAATAAATTAAGGGAAAGTTAAAGTTACAGCCTCTATATATTCCATAGCAGGGTACAAGGCTCCTTTCATTTCTAAAAGGGTTTTTAGGGCAAGTATGTTGTTTCCGCCAGGATGCCCCAATACGTGTTAGCAGACATCGCATCATTATCATTACAACCTTTCACAAGTTCACTGCTGAACATAAACCACCTGCATCCATCGACTTCCTGCATGTCTTACCATTTCGTTACTCTATTTATTGGGAGGCTACCCCACATGTTAGGATACAATTATTTAGGACAATACAATTTATTAGGATGAATTTATATCCCATAATGCAAGCCAATGAGTAAAGCTAATTTTAAACATTTTATTTTAACAAATTTTAAATTTCCTCAAGTTTTAAGTAATGATGATTCATAGTCATATCTTAACGCGATAAAATTAGTAAAGCCCACTTCCATTTAATAATGATGTCATTAAATGGAAGTGAACTCAACTCAGCCCTTCACTTGCTAATACCAATAAATTGATATAGGTAGCACTTTCTTCATAAATATTTTTTACTAACCTACATTTTAAAAAGAACAATATTTACCACATCCACTGTAATGAGGATCTTCTGAACAAATTCGAGACTTTTTTTCGCAAGCTTCTTGGGATTCATCCCTCCCGTCTTCGCAATGCCTTATTCCATCACATGTGTTACGTAATTTTATACATCGCCCGCGTCCACATCTTTGTCCCTCACATTCTTCGAGTTGTTCAATATTCGAGGATCCTGGATGGGAATTATCTATAAAATGGAGAAAATTATTATAAGAAGAACTATTTTCCCTTTAAGAATAATTATTTAAAGAAATTTAATGAACCTTTTAAAATCTTCATTTCATTTTTAATATTTCCAATATCAGTACTTATTATCTTATTGCTTATTCCACATTCTCCCCTGCTATCTACAAACGAGGCAGCAGGGTACCATCCCAGATTAGTATGACAGCTGATAATTCCAGCCCACGGTCGTTGTGAGATTTCGTTTGGCTGTAAAATACTTTGAATATAAGATAGTAATATAATACCCCATGCAAAATCTAGGAAACAATGTAGGAAATTGACAATTACCCAAAGTTAATGGAAAAGTAAATTATAAATATAAAAATCAAACTTGAAATTTACAGATACTTACAGAGCAAATGCTGGAATTCGAACTTAATACAAAACACCTATTATGAGCAGAACAGTTATGTGTTGTTTCATTCAAGAGCACGCTTATTGTATTATTACTATGATCTTCACCTACTGCAATACAAACGGTCTGATTATCTTCTGGTATATACCTAAAATGAAATTCATTAGTAGTAGTAGTAGGTTCTGTTTCTATGATTCTTAATAAAAAAAATACTTACGTAAACATTGTTGTCATTGGTTTTACCATGCTAGAATATTTAGCTTTGCCATTCAAACGTAAAAGAGTAACTTTGCTATTATATAAATCCCTTTTGGCATCGACTTGGAATATTTGTTCATAAGGCCCAATTGTTGAAGGAAGGGTTTTATAAGAACCAAGTATCACTGCAATATACTGGCGGCTGAAACTTTTTAAATTTTTATATAAAATCTAACAATCAAACCAAAATTAAAACAAATTACGTAACTTTATATATAAACCTTACGAAAATATAATATAAGAAAATGCGATTTATATTATTAGTCGTATTATATCATCTTTGAACATCATGATGCATTATTGGATCGAAGTTCCTTATCGGACGGTACGAATTTGGTGGATTGGAGCTAGGCGAGAAAAAGTGTAATATTTTTCCATCACGACCCCTTCTGACGTAGTTTAGATGGCCTTGGCGGCTATAAGGAAGCGAGATGGAATAATATCCATGTCCCTCGCACTTTTCCTTATCTTGCCATGAAATAAATATTATTTTATTTTAAATGACGCTTCATTTTAATAGATCAATAATAATTACTACGAAAGGAACTTACTTCAAACCGAGTGTTCCACGATACTCACGCATGTTTTTTTACGCTTCGATGATTTAAATGTATATTATTCTAGCAGTTAAAAAATAAACCGCGCTTCAGAAGAGGCATAATATGTGATTGTGTTATATAAGCTCGTGAATAATACTTACAGTGTATTCCACAGGCAAGAATGGCTAACTAAAACCCAGGAAAGATCTATCAAAACCCCAGTACATTTATATAAGCCATTAACATAAATTTTTGCAATCCATGGCAATTCCAAGTTAAAGTTGTTTTCTGTTTTTTGATTAAAAGACGCTTCTTGAGTAAAATGAAAGTTAGTAAAAAGTGACTGATCACAGAAGACATAAACGGTCATACATGTTTTTGTTATATTTGGCACACATTGTTCTTTAAGAACTTCAGGCTCTTTGATTAACATTTCTGAAGGTGGCTCGTCAATTCTATTTGCATTTATATAAGTAAAATGCACAGGCGACTTAACATTCCTTTTTCTCCGTTTTTGTATTATATTTCCACTAAGTAAATTTTCTTCTCTTATATTTATATATTTTATTAGATATCGGTTGGCAGAACTGTAAATAAAAACTTTTTTATAACTTCAACAAAATATATTAGCAACGTAGTAACAAATTTTTTTCCTCTGAAAATTTCTAAACAAAAATTAACAAAGGTAATAGCAGAAAGGCTTAACAAATAAAAAACTGGACAAATGCGAGTAGGACTTGCCTCCTGAGGGTTCCGTATAAACAATAATCGTAATAGTCCATTCATCCCAGAAATCTTAGGCAAGATATGCACCGACTGACATTTTTGTTAAAGCAACATTGCTCTAATAAAAAATTGAAAAATAAAGATAGCTTTGCAGTGGAAAAATATTAGAATTTGGTATCTCTACCTGTGACCCAGAAAAATACACTTGGTCTATCGAGATGATGGGCAGACAGACGGACGGTAGGACAGATAAGAAATTGATCCTTTTCGTTTAAGGGTTCTGTTTTTTTGAGGTACGGAACTTTCATAATTATCAATTAATTAACCTAGTAGAGACCCGGAGATTCTTTTACTGGAATAGAGGCATTCCATCTTAGTCCTCACGGCTGACAACGCATCTGCATTTTAATTCGCAAACGTATGTAGATGTCTATGTGCCACAGTAACCACTTACCATCAGATGGGTTTGGTGCTCGCTTGTCATCCATATCTTATAAAAAAACACAAATTCCTAGCCGTATTTTTACGGTTCCGTAGTTATACAACAAGGAACCCTTATAGTTTCGTCATGTCCGTTCATCTATCTGTCCGCGGTTTTACTCACAGACCCTCGGTGCTACAAACCTCTAATTTGGCATAGTTATAGATATTGATCACGCCTACAAAAATGTGAACTGCGGACACTTCCTTGCCCTAAAACCCTTTCAGAAATAAGAGGAGGCCTGTGCCCAGCAGTGGGACATATATAGGCTGTAAGTTTACTGTACTTTACTTTGTCAAGATGGTGTATGTTGAAATATCTAAGCAGTTTTTACACTGTTAAGTGCAAAAATTACATTAAAGCTTCTACTGTAATTTGTTCATAAATAAATATATAAATAAACTATTTTTATAGTAATGCTATTTTATATGGCCCAAGCTATATCATAAATTATGAAAGACTCAATCTGATTGCACGTTTTAATTACATTATTATTTGACACGATTTTCTGCAAGTATTTGAAGGAAAAACACACCGTTAAAAATAACTAATTTTTACATTTTAGTGTCTGAAGTGTGAATTAAGTGACGTCTTAAGTTGACGTTTGAAAAAAGGATGTATTCACATTATCACCCTAACATTTTTTTTAATAATACTAGTAGTGCTGACACTACTAATAGTATTATATTAATATTGTTATACTTAAATTCCTTAATTATTAAAGAACTTACCGAAATCCTAAATAATGACAAATATCATTTGCAGTTTGTTCTTGTTGTTGTAAAGACAAATTATCTTCACAAGAAATTTGCCAGTCACCTTTGTGTTTTACAGATACAAATCCATCTAATTTTAACTTTGGTTGTCCATCAAATTCGTAAAAGATTTCTTTACCATTTGATAAAGCAACTAGAACCGGACATTTTGAAGAATATTAGTAGAATGTTTGGAATAGTAAATTGATTAATTATATTTTAATTTCATTTACTTACAACAATCCTGTTCATCTTCACCATGAGGACAATTTATAATTCCATCACAAACATATTGCGACGGCAAACAGGTTTGACTTTTCTTGCATAAAAATTGATCTTCACTACAAAGAACTATGAAAAGTTTTAATTTTAAAGGAAGAAAAGATAGAAGAAAAGTAATTACTAATATTATATTAATATTTAAAGAAACTTACAACAGTCGAGTTCATCTTGCCCAGCAATGCAATCAAAATTTCCATCACATAAAAGATTTTTGTTAAATGTAAGCAAATAATCTTTACATGTACAATCTTGTTCGTCCGTACCATCTTCACAGTCAGCTTTCTGGTCACAACGCTTATTAAAAGGCACAGATTGATTAATCCTAAAAAATATATCAAAAATCACACGTCGTGCACAAATTATTAGGTGCACGTTATCAATGATAAATAAAATATTATGAATTGGTTACCGTCTACATTGAAATTCTATGGGAACTCGATATTGATTTAGAATTTTCGCAGGAAGAAGTTTTTTTATTTCATATGAAATATTCTGAGATTTTTCATCGACAAGAACATCAGATTCGTTTAGTTTTTGTACATTATAATTAACCGTCATTTTGTCAAGACCACTTGTCGTTGGATTTTTATTTGTAGCAGTTTCTTCCAAATGTTTTGGAAATTCTGTTGGATGTTCAGAAGAGTGGTCTTCAACATGTATCTGACTTTCTTGATTTAACGTTACTTGAAAAGCATTTTCTGTTGTATTCACATCATTATTCCATTTGGAAAAAGTAATATGATCCATTTCATGATTAGTTGTACTTATTTCATTTTGCTCTGTCGATTGATATAAGCTTTTTAAAGTTGTTATTTCATCATTTATTGTTAAAATTTGGTTACTTATATTTTTAGAAGAAGCTAAATTTATAAAAAACGGTGTGGTTCCTGTAGTTGTTTTGTCTTCAGATTCAAGTGAGCTTCTTGATTCCTTAAATTCATTACTGTTCTCTTTTACATGCGATGACATAGTCTCCAAAATATTGTTTGGTTTATTAATAGATATTGTATGTGTATCCAATATTTCATTAGTAGTTAATATTATAGGGTCAAGAGTTACGTGTTCGTTTGAAGTTTGTGTCATACTTGTTTCTTCTGAAGTATCAGTACTATCAATTTCAATAGTTGACGCATGCTTGAAGTCGTTTTCCAAAGATGTAAGGTCTTGTAAAGAGTTGTTTATATCCTGCTTAACCGTTGAAAGTGTATCTTCCGATTTTGGTGAATGTATTTCTAAATTATCAAATTCTGTCACAGTATTTAGTGTGTTTAATGTAGTAGACATGAAAGAAACTTTTACGTTTGCATCTTTATTTTCAAATATTTCAAAGGTGTCATTTACTGTTTTTAGTTTTCCGTTTTTGGTTTCTGTTACATCATTACTTTCACTTAAAGTATTATCACTAAACGTCTTTAGATTCTTATAATCACAACTGATTTCATCTTCACCACTTAAGCAATCAATTATTCCATCACACATTCTCTTTTTGGGTAAGCATTTCGTAATTCCCGATTCACATCTAAATCCTGGACATTCTTGTTTCGGTTGTATTGATGGTAGACTATTTGAAACTGCGAATAAAGAAGTGTACTTAATTTTATTTATTGTCATAAGTTACTGTTAATTTGAAGCATTCCATATAGTGATATAAAAAAGCTTTACTAAAGCATAATGATATTTTATGTTTACTCGAAATCTACAAATTTAAATGAAACTCAGTTTTAAGGATTTTATCGCGTATATTAACTTATTTTAAATTCTCGGCGTTTCAAGAACTTTACAGCATGCATGGTCACGGGTGGAAGGGGAGGGCGGGGAGCTGAGGTGTTCGATATTCCAATGACATAGTTAACCACGGCTAGCTTTAGTTTTAAAATTATTAATTATTGATCTGATCTACGCGAAATGAGCGTATAGTATATTGAAATCGTGCAGTTGTATGCTTGAATTTGATTTTTTTTATTAATTATAGGGTCCCAAGCAGATGGCAGTGCCCAGCCATGTTCTCTATTGAAATTAGAATTTTTTATTATTATTTCAATAGCCGCGCGAGTCATCCTTGGAAGAAATTGACGTTCTTTTGTGGTGTATATAATCTCATGTAGTGACGGGGGCGATCCTGTACGTATTCACAGACTGCAGACTTGTCTTGAATCGACCTTTTGGGAATTCTCTTTTTTTTAATAGGAGAGGGGGCAAACGAACATGCGGCTCACCTAATGGTAAGTGACTTCCGCCGCCCATGAACAACCGCAACACCAGGGGAATTGCAGATGCGTTGCCGGCTTTTTAAAAAGGAGTAGGCTCTTTTTTTGAAGGTCCCTAAGTCGTATCGGTCCGGAAAAAGCGCTGATGGTAATCGATTCCACAAGGAGGTCGTGCGAGGAAGAAAACATCTTCTAAATCGCACAGTGGTGGACCGCCAATCATCCAGATGGTATGAATGGTATCGGGAGTTCTGCCGCGAAGTGCGTTCATGAAATTTGGCGGCTGGGATTAATCCGAACAATTCCTCAGAGCACTCCCCGTGGTAGATGCGAAAGAAAATGCAAAGGGATGCAACATCTCTTCGCAGTGCCAATGAATCGAGCCGATCGGAAAGGATTCGGTCGTCGACGATTCGAGCCGCTCTGCGCTGGATGCGGTCAAGTGGAAGGAGCTGGCACTGGGGAGCCCCTGCCCAGAGATGGGAACAGTATTCTATGTGAGGCCGAACCTGCGCATTGTAAAGTTGCAGGCGGTGTGCCGGCATAAAATACTGTCCCGCTCTGCTGAGCACGCCAAGCTTTTTAGAGGCCAATTTGGCTTTCTCTTCCAAGTGACCACGAAACTGCAGGTCACTCGATATGTCGACTCCGGGGATAGAGGCGTAGATCTGACCAAAAATTTAAAATTTTAAACTGAAGGTAACATTTAGACGTTGAAAACTTCAGCCCCCCCGTGACATATATGCTGTAAAGTAGGTACTCGAATTGTGGGGAATTTAAAATAAGTTAATATACGCGATACAATGCGTAAAATTTATTTTAATTTACTTAAGCAAATTTATAGTACAGAGACCGCAAAACTGAACTTACGAATATGAAATTTTATCCATTCTGTGAAAATACTGACTCTTGTATAAACACCCGGTTCATCTTTACGTGCACATCCGTCGCCATGACTGACAATACCAGCTACATACCATTGCTGTGCATTTAGAGGATTTTTACATATAAGGGGACCGCCGCTATCACCCTGAATAAGTAAATAATAATTATTTTTTCTCTTATTTTATAATGGTAGTAGAAGAGCCAGGGAGAAGCATTTTTCAAGCATTTGCTTTAAACTGATTACTGTAATGATATAGAAGTTTTCTTTAACATAACTGCTGAATTTAATTTTATTAAGGCCAACTAAAATGACAACTTATCACCTAGCAACAATAAATAATAAAATGAAACTTTTCATGAAAAATGAAACCCGACTTGTGTACGTGGTAGAGCCATGCTATATATATCATAGTTGTAGCAAGATTGGGTCATCTTGAACGGGGAAGAACCGCGCTCTCACAGTATACAAACTTAAAATAGGAGCATAATGTTGCTGTTTCGTATGGTGAGTGTAGAGAACTGGAGACCCTTTTTATTGGGTATGAGGCAATCCATTTTAATCGTCAAAAGTGGCACAGTATTCACTTACCATCAGGTGTACTGTCTGTTCGTTTGTCACTTTCTTCTTAAAAAAGACCTTATAGGACTAACAAGAATAAAATATAATTTCCCCATAATAGCTTCTGAAGTCAGTACTAAGACTATTAAGTATTCAAGCCCATACTTCAGAAATAAAGACTACAGAAGTAGAAGTAAGGAATAAAAGCCACACAAATCGCGAAGATATCGCCTAACGTATATACAATTAGAAATATTTAGATCATATTTAAAACCTGCTTTTTTGGCGTCGGCTTAAAGCAAGATGATATATGATGATATTCTTCGCCTTCAGTTTCTTTAAATGACGATGCGCCAACTGCTAAATAACTTTAAAAAATTTGCTCATATTCACTGCACTAGAGAGGCAGGTTAGTGACAGCAGAGCCATTATGTTAAGGAAGATTTTTAAAGAATAAGGATGACAAGCGAACACACAGTCCATGTGATAGTAAGTGGATGTTGTAACCTATAGACATCTACATTAACCATCAATTAAGAATTAAAATGCAGATGCGCTGTCACCCCTGAGAACTAAGATAGAATGCCTCCTTTCCAGTAAAACTGGCCTCCGGTCATAGATTACGTTCATAAATAACGAGCACTAGGAAGCACCAGCCTTCCGGCACAAGCGGGAGATGAAATGTGTGATTTTGCCGACGGTCACATTTTGAGGCTGACACCTCGTGCTAACCATGTAAGTTACTCTTAGTTCACTGTGAATGAAAACTACGGCTGCTAAGACACTACCACACCCGAAGTTTGTATCAATCAAATGTCATTTATGTTTTCATCCTAATTTATACCTCATAAATTCGTTACATAATTCTTTATACTATTTGTAGAGTAATAATATCTAGAGTTAAAAATAATTAAAAAATTTATAAAGTCATACTTGACATGCATCTTTCCCCCCTTCTTCAAATCCAGCACAAATTTCCTTGCCAGCTTCGTCTTCTTCATGCTTGCAATGGCTCCAAATTGGGATTTCTACTTCGCGCATGTGATCAGCTATAAGTAATAATTTATTTGCTAATTTACAAATTATTATAATATTACATGAAGAAAGCGTGTATTACACAAAAATTAAAGGTTATTTTAAGAAAAAATCAAGCTTTATTACATACCATTTGTCGATAAACGAACGAACAGTTTACATTTTTTTATAGAATTAGGGTGACAAACGAGCACACAGTCCACCTGATGGTAATTAGTTGCTGTGGCACATAGACATCTACATCTATCCTCGATTACGAATCAAATGCAGATGCGTTGTCACCCGTGAGGACTAAGATGGAATGTCTCGTTTCCAGTAAAAAGGGTCTCCGGATCTCTACACTCACCATACGAAACACAGCAGCGTTAAGCTGCTATTTTACGCTGGTATTCTGTGAGAGCGTGGTCCTTCCCCGGTCGAGCTGACCCATTTGTGCTACATCTATATTATTAATTGATACTTGATGACATGCGGCTAATGGAGATTAAGAAAACTACAAATGCATCGTTATATATAGCTACAAGGTGGTAAGACTTCTTTTCTGCGTAGTCCGCCAAATAGCATTGCTTGCATTGCTGTGTTCCGGGTTGAATAGTATAGAGGACCAGTTATTAAGTAATTACAGGTTGTGAGTAATTCCATCTTATTCCTCAGAGCTGACATCACACATGTAGCCTTTTTGGTTTAAAGTTGGCTGCATACTTCTGTAGACTACAAAAGCCACCCTCATGTGGACTCTTAGTTCGTTTACCACCTTAAAAAAAAACCTTTAAAAAAATTATATTCTTACTCTCCATACCATTCAAACTGAAACACAATTGTAAATTACCTCTGCTTGTCGGCATAAATAGGTCGAACAAGACAAACTTCTGGATAGATAATTAAAAATTAAAAATTTTGTACAGCCGACTTCAATATAAGTTATTAAGAATAACTCAAAAACTATTGGCTTGACCTTGATCAAATGGACCACACAAGAACTACTAGCTTTCAAATAAAAAAAGAATTATCGAAATCGGTCCACCCAGTAAAAAGTTATGAGGTAACACACATAAAAAAAAATCAAAAAAAATACAGTCGAATTAAGTAACGTCTCCTTTTTGGAAATCGGCAGAAAAAAAATACAGTCGATTCGAATACCGTTTCCTTTTTGGAAGTCGGCAGAAAATAGTCCCACCACCATATGACAGTGTATATTATGTACATTTATTTATATACGCCAGTTTGAAGGGTCTTATTAAGCCTAGCCTATTTCAGTGTATTGATTAGGGTGACATGCATAATATGTAGCCTTATTGGTTTGAGTCAGATGTAGCTTATGTTATGTTTGAACTTGAAATTCGATGATATATCTAATGTAAGGAAAAGGAGTTTTTAAATCATTGCTAAATATTAATCTGAAGAACCCCAACCTAAAATTTTAGCACATATTCATCATACATCGACATATTTTACTAGTATAGCATAATATCATCATCATCATTACAGTCCTTCACAAGTCCACTGCTGAACATAGGCCTCCCCCCCACAAAGCACGGTCCTGAGCCACCTGCATCCATCGACTTCCTGCATATCTTACCAGGTCGTCACTCCATCTAGTGGGGGGACGCCCTACACTTCGCCTGCCGGTACGAGGCTGCCACTCGAGAACCTTTCTTCACCATCGGTTGTCGGTTCTTCGAGCTATATGGCCGGCCCATTGCCACTTCAGCTTACTAATTCGTTGGGCTATGTCGGTCACTCTGGTTCTACTGCGGATATCCTCATATCTGAGTTTATCACGCTGAGAAACTCCGAGCATAGCCCTCTCCATAGCTCGCTGAGCGACCTTGAGCTTCCTCATCCGGCCAGCAGTGAAGGACCACGTCTCAGTTCCGTATGTCATCACTGGCAACACGCACTAGGTGTACAATCTCGTTTTCAAGTTTTGAGGTATACCTGACGAGAAGATGTGCCGTAATTTCCCGAACGCTGGCCAACCGAGTTGAATCCGTCGATTGACCTCTCGGTCAAAGTTGGACTTACCTAGTCGGACTATTTGTCCCAGGTAAACATACCCGTCAACAACTTCGAGCTTAGTGCTCCCAACAACTACCGGCATAGGTGTGACATGGACATTAAACATGATCTTTGTTTTGTCCATGTTCATCTTAAGACCAATCCGTTGGGAAACACTATTGAGGTCATTGAGCATAGTGCTTAGGTCCTCCAGCGATTCTGCCATAAGGACTATATCGTCGGCAAATCGAAGGTGAGTGATGTACCGGCCATTGATGTTGATACCTTATCCTTTCCAGTCCAGAAGCTTGAAAACATCTTCCAATGCAGCGGTAAAGAGTTTCGGGGAAATGACGTCACCCTGTCTTACACCTCTCTGCAATTGGATAGGTTTCGTACTCTGGTTCTGTACTCGGATAGCCATCGTAGCCCTACTGTACAAGCACTTCAACACTTCGATATACCGACAGTCAACTTGGCATCGCTGAGGGGACTGCAGCACCGCCCAAATTTCGACGGAATCAAAGGCTTTCTCATAGTCCACATACGCCAGACATAGTGGCAAATTGTACTCCTCGGACTTCTGTACAATCTGCCGAAGGGTATGTATGTGGTCTATGGTGCTAAAGCCTTTTCAGAAACCGGCTTGTTCGGGAGGCTGGAAGTCGTCAAGCCTACGCGCGAGACGATTCGTAATGACTCTCGAAAACAGCACGTAGACGCGGCTCTGAAGGGAAATCGGTCTGTAGTTGGAGCCTTGGTTCCGCTCGATCGCTTCTTCAATACGAGCTGTATTGAAGTTGCGTAAGTCCCGCCGCATGCATTTGGAGATCTGTCTGTTCAGATGCCTGTATGCTGTCAAATCTGTTGAAGAATGTAGCTTCATCTCCCGTCTAACAGCCATGAGATTGAGAGTGTGATCGGAGAGTTTTTGTGTTCTTCTGCGGCGGGTCTTGCAGAACTTAGCTCCGACCGCATGGACAGTTTCCACGAGCTTGTCATTCAAATCGTCCACTTCATTGCAGTCTTCTAGGCACTGAAAAAGGTTTTGTAACTCGAGCTGAAAGGTTTCGGGACTTTGGATTAGAGCACGAGGGGCACGGAGCGTTGACTTCATTAGACGAGACCTCTCCAACTTAACGTTTAGGTTCAGTGTGCCTCTAACCGTTCGGTGATCGCTGCCGGTTTTCACCCTCGTGATCACTGAGACATCACTGAACAGTTGTCGTCTGGTCGTCGTAATGAAGTCAATCTCATTTTTGTCGAACCGTCGGGGCTCGACCAGGTCCACTTCCTGTGGGGCCGCTTCTGGAAGAAAGAGTTCATCATAAAGAGTCGCTCTTTCTCCATGAAGTCGGCCAGCTGCTGGCCCCTTGGGTTCCGTTGCCCTATTCCAAATTTCCCCACTTTCAGCTCACTGTTCTCTCTTGTGCCTAGTTTTGCATTGAAATCTCCCATTAACACCGTATATTGGGTTTTGGAGGAATGCATGGCTCTAGAGATATCCTCATACATTTCATCCACCTCCTGATCGGGGTGTGCCGAGGTTGGTGCGTAAACCTGTATGACCTTCAGCGAAAACCGTTTGGTGATTCTGAGTATAAGGTACGCAACCCTCGTCGACACACTCTCAATCTTTACAACGTTGTTAACGAGAGACTTGTGGACGATAAATCCGACACCTCCTTGGGACAGATGGTCACCCTCCCGGTAATAGAGCAAGTTGCCGGATTCGAGGATTACCGTGTCCTCCGCCTCTCTTCGGACTTTGGATAATCCTATAATATGCCAGCGTAACTTGTCTATCTCTTCTTCCAGCTCCACAATCTTCTCGTTAGTCCTCAGGGTGCGTGCGTTGTATGTTGCCATGTCGAGTCGTTGTAGGTGGCAACCGAACCTCCACCGGAGATTCTTAGCGCCCCCTGCCCCGCCGTTACCATGCTCGCCACCGTAGCCAGGAATAGCGGGGCCGCCGGGGACTGGGGGCCGTCTCTTCGTAACTTTCATCATGGGGGGTATATTGCCATAGTTGCCACGCTTGGCGAGCGGGTTGGCAACCGCAGTTTTTTATTGTATTTTTGCCGTTACCAGGAAGATGCTGCTGCCCATCTCCTGCCTGTTTCCCTTTGTCGCTTTTTACGACACCCACGGGAAGATATGGGATAGTGGATATTCTTAACCGCCACTACATGGCAAAAAATAGCATAATATACGTTATATGTTTATAGCCAATTTTTAAGCAAAAATCCTATACTAGACTTGTTATGCGAGGCGTGAATAGTAAAACAAATAGTATTCACGTCTCATCTCTTTAAATGATATTTTAAGTAGCAGTTTAAATAAAAAGTAATAAAAATATAAAAAGTAAGAAAAAGTAAAGTTGCAGCCTATTTACGTCCCACTGCTGAGCACAGGCCTCTTCCCGTTTCTAAGAGGGTTTTAGGGCAAGGAAATGTCCGCCGCGCTGCCCCAATGGGTGTTGGCAATAAAAAATAAAAAGATAAAGTAACAGTATTATAAATTGTGTGGAGATAAGCTTACGATCTGGTCCATGTTCGACAGTAGCACCCCAACCGACAGCTATGCAGATAGTTCCTGGTTCAGGACCAACTCGCCAGTTCGGACCAGCCGTTTCGGGTCCAGGTAAGCAAATTGGCCGTACCCAACGACTAAACTGTATGCCAGGTTTAACCCGTAATAATGAAAGGTCGTTTTTCATGTCTTCCTGGTTATAATTTTGATTTACAATAACATGTGTGACGCGGTGATTTTGTTCCTGTGGTGAGAACGAAAAGCGTCGTAGCATACCAACTTGTATTTCATAGTAATGCTCCCAAAACCTGAAAATTAAATCATTTTATCGCTAACTGATTACGAGCAGACCGTGTGTGACAGCGTAAGAGAATCCATCCGAATGTAGATGTCGTAAAGGGGCGAACACGGGAGATGCTAAAAATCTAATTGCTGCCGATATATGGCTGTATAACACACCTGCTTATACCGGACGTGAAATACACAGATCGTTATTGGACAACAGTGTCAAAGAAGCAATACGTCTGGTGCTGCGATCGTCAAAGCGCCTGTCGAGAGCGATAACTAAACCAAATACTCCATACAACGGTAGGCTTCATTGACCTTTAACGGGTCGATAAAGGAAAAGAAGAAGATTATGGGAAATTTTTGCATTCAGAAATGGCGAAGTTTCTTTGACTTTGAAAAATTGCTTTGTAAAAATTGTGACTTTGAATTTGAAATCAAATAGCTAGAAGGCAACTCGCAGCTCAGATATCCTTTTAAGATGCATTTTCGATAACATAAATTTATGTGTGGACTTAATTTAAAAAAAATTATCTATATACATATACTTAAAAAAACTTGATACTCTTACTTACTTGTTAACGCAATGGGCTGCTGACATGACCCAGTGCTGGTTTATAATGACGCCACCGCAATGAAATATTCCGTCCCTGTACAAAGCTACAACCCAAGGCCATGCTGCTGGCTGACTAGGCCTTCCCCCAACAACTCTACTCTCTGTTCTTTTGGTTCTCTTTGTATTACCGTGTGGCTTTACTATTACATTATTCGCAAGCCTTTTAAATCGGTTACTATAAAACATCAGGGGGTACAGTCTGTTTTTAAGTAGAAACCTTTTATTACGGCCGTAGAGGTCACTCTCGATGGCAGCATTCTAAAAAGATTTATTCAACTTAAGTAAGAAAAACTGTCATCTAAAATTTTCTAAACATTATAATTTCTTTTTCCGTAAATATTTAAGTGTGAAAGGAGCTATCACTTCTTGTGATGGCAAGTGTCTACTGCAGCCCATGGACGTCCACAACAACAAAATACAAATTCATCTCTTATGGTCTAGATTGAATGCCTGATAACTTGAAATTATACTTGCTTATCATACCTAAGCATGAAGCCTTGATAGCGTGTACTTATCTGGGTAGACCGCCCATCCAGGCTGTGTAATATATAATGTTGGTTATTTAAAAATATTAGTTAAGTACAAGTAATTTTGCCCCCCCCAGCGTATTCTGGGGGGGGGGGGGGGGAAATTCCGCTCAAAAGCATTACTGCTAGGGGCAAACTGAGCAAGAACACCAAGGCGACCCCTGCCACGCTATCCGTGAATTTCTGCAACATCAGGGGACTTCACTCTAACATAAACGCCGTCCACTACCATCTCGAGACGGCGAAGCCGGCCTTGCTCTTTCTGACCGAGACGCAGGTTTCCTCTCCGGCTGATATTTCGTATCTCTCCTACCCGGGGTACAAATTGGAGCATTCCTTTGTGCCTCGGGCTGGAGTTTGCGTGTATGTAAGTGAGGACATCTGTTCTCGACGCCTTGGCAGTCTTGAAGGTTTGGAACTGTCCATCCTTTGGCTACGCGTAGACAGCGACGACCATCCGCGCGTCTACGGGTGCCTCTATAGGTCCCATAGCGGTAATGCCGAAACAGACCGACTCATCGACCACGTCCAAATGGCTACAGATTTCTTGCTACAACAGGTCCCATCCGCAGAGATCGTGATCCTTGGCGATTTTAACGCCCACCATGCCGAGTGGCTCGGTTCACGTCTAACCGATCATGCGGGGAGATCTCTTTATGACTTTGCCTTGGCATATGGTCTGACACAACTGGTTACTTCGCCTACGCGGATTCCAGATGTGGAGGATCATACACCTTCCCTGTTGGACCTTCTGCTGACCTCTCATCCGGACGGATATCAGGTTTCCGTCGATGCCCCTCTCGGCTCTTCGAACCATTGTCTGATCCGGAGTGTGGTGCCACTCACGCTCCCTTCGCGGTTGCGTTCTGCAGGTTGCCGCCGTGTTTGGCATTACAGGTCGGCGGATTGGGACGGAATGCGGTCCTTCTTTGCATCCTACCCATGGGGGCGGGTTTGCTTCTCGCCGGATGATCCCAGCGCTGTTGCTGACTCTGTCACTGATGTGGTGCTACAGGGAATGGAACTATTTATTCTATCATCCGTGGTACCCATCGGAGGCAGATCTCAGCCTTGGTTTGGTCGCTCCTGTAAGACTGCATTACGCAGTAAGAAGGAGTGTTATCAAGCCTGGGCTGCGGCTTCGGCGACTCGGGATGTAAATACCAGCACACTTAAAAAGAAGTATAACTTCGCCTCCAGGACCTTCAAAAGAGTTATTGCCAAGGCAAAGTCAGAGCACATAGGCAGAATTGGCGAGAAACTAGTTCGCCTTCCTTCGGGAACCCGTGCATTCTGGTCTCTCGCCAAGGCTGTCCAAGGGAATTTCTGTATGCCATCACTACCATCTCTGCACAGGGAGGATGACTCACTGGCTCATGACGCAAAAGACAAAGCCGACCTTTTAGGCTCCCTTTTTGCGTCCAACTCGACTCTTGATGACGGGGGGAAAACACCGCCGACCATCCCGCGGTGTGAGTGCTCCATGCCGGATGTGCTGTTCTCACAGCGCTCGGTTCGCAAAGCACTGCTCTCCCTGGACATCCAGAAGTCGAGTGGGCCTGACGGAATCCCCCCAATTGTGCTGAGGACGTGTGCTCCGGAGTTGGCACCGGTCCTAACGCGTCTTTTCCGGTACTCCTACTCCCAAGGCGTAGTCCCGAATTCATGGAAGACAGCTTTTGTCCACCCGATCCCTAAAAAAGGCGACCGCTCAGACCCATCCAACTATAGGCCTATCGCGATCACCTCCTTGTTCTCCAAAATAATGGAATCCATTATTAACTGCCAGCTCATCCGGTACCTTGAGGATCACCAGCTGATTAGTGACCGCCAATACGGTTTTCGTCGGGGTCGATCAGCTGGTGATCTTCTGGTCTACCTGACCCATAGATGGGCGGAGGCAGTAGAGTCCAAGGGGGAGGCGTTGGCCGTTAGTCTGGACATTGCGAAGGCCTTCGATCGGGTTTGGCACAAAGCGCTTCTTTCGAAGCTCCCTTCCTATGGGCTTCCCGAGAAATTGTGCAATTGGATCACCAGCTTCCTTGCAGATCGGAGCATCAAGGTCGTTGTAGACGGTGCATGCTCTGACTACAAGCCTATTAACGCTGGTGTTCCACAAGGCTGTGTGCTATCACCAACGCTGTTTCTTCTGCATATCAATGATATGTTGCTAACTGGTAACATTCATTGCTATGCGGATGACAGCACTGGTGATGCTCTATACACCGGCCGTGCCAATATTTCTCGGGAAAACGTCGCTGAGTACCGGAACAAACTTGTTTCTGAAGTCGAGTCTTTGCTGAACAAAGTCTCGGATTGGGGGCGACTAAATCTAGTCCAATTTAATCCTCAGAAGACACAAGTTTGCGCGTTTACCGCTAAAAAGAACCCCTTTGTCGTATCTCCTCAGTTTCAAGGCACTCCCCTTCTTGCCTCAGCCAGTATCGGTATCCTCGGAGTCGACATATCGAGTGACGTGCAGTTTCGTGGTCACTTGGAAGGGAAGGCCAAATTGGCCTCTAAAAAGCTTGGCGTGCTCAGCAGAGCGGGACAGTATTTCATGCCGGCACACCGCCTGCTACTTTACAAGGCGCAAGTTCGGCCTCACATGGAATACTGTTCCCATCTCTGGGCAGGGGCTCCCCAGTGCCAGCTCCTTCCACTTGACCGCATCCAACGCAGAGCGGCTCGAATTGTCGACGACCGAGCCCTTTCCGATCGGCTCGATTCATTGGCACTGTGTAGAGATGTTGCATCCCTTTGCATTTTCTTTCGCATCTACCATGGGGAGTGCTCTGAGGAATTGTTCGGATTAATCCCAGCCGCCAAATTTCACGAACGCACATCGCGGCAGAACTCCCGATACCATCCACACCATCTGGATGATTGGCGGTCCACCACTGTGCGATTTAGAAGATGTTTTCTTCCTCGCACGACCTCCTTGTGGAATCGATTACCATCAGCGATTTTTCCGGACCGATACGACTTAGGGACCTTCAAGAAAAGAGCGTACTCCTTTTTAAAAGGCCGGCAACGCATCTGCGATTCCCCTGGTGTTGCAGTTGTTCATGGGCGGCGGTAGTCACTTACCATCAGGTGAGCCGCATGCTCGTTTGCCCCCTCTCCTATAAAAAAAAAAAGTAAAATGCGCAGATAGTTTAACTAGGTATTTTTACAGGTATTTATCTACTAGTGATTTTGTACGTGGTAGAGCCATGCTGCAGTTATATTACTGATAGTTGTAGCTCGGATGGTTCGGCTCAAACTGGGAAGGACCACGCTCTCACAGAATACCAACGTAATATAGCAGCTTAACACTGCTGTGTTTCGTATGGTGAGTGTAGAGAACCGGCGACCCTTTTTACTGGAAAAGAGTCATTCCATCTTAGTCCTCACGGATGACAACGAATACTGCGTTTTGATTCCTTATTGAGGATAAATGTAGATGTCTATGGATCACACCAGCCACTTACCATCAGCTGGACTGTGTGCTCGTTTGTCACCACATCCAATAAAAATAATTGTGAGGACCTTTAATTGGTGTACTGTAGTTATTAGTATTATCTTAATTATTATAGCTGTTGGTCTCCCATACATAATAAAATTATAGATAAGGTAATGCACCGTATTTTACACTAACGAAGAGATAATTATTAAAATTGAAGGGCACTCTAACTATGAAGAATATGTTCTCCCATACATCGGTCTACATCACGTTCGTTGCGATAACTCCAAATGCATTTTTTATAGAATAAGGGTGACGAATGAGCACACAGTACATCTGTGTTGTACTGTGGTCAGTCTAAGCCGTGGTCTCATAGACATGTTCATATATATTCAATTCAAAATCAAAATGTAATGCACATGCGTTGTCACTGAGAATTATAATGGAATGCCTCTTTTCTAGTTCTCTAAACTGACCATATGGAACACAGCAGCATTAAGGTGCTATTTTACTCTGGTATTCTGTGAGAGCGTGGTCCCGAAAAAGATGAAGGTAAAATACTTTTACTTCTTTATTGTATTATTACGTGTACTCATAAAATCTACAGTAAACTGCTGTCTATTGTGATTCCAGTACCAAATAAAATGTATTGTAGTTGACCGCCAATTACTGACCACTTCAGTAACTGGTATGGAGATTTATAGTGCTTTTGTGATTTATAGCTTATTCCAATGTAAACGTCCCTTAATGCATACGTTTTGGAGTTACTATTTGTTAACTAAATTATTTCTATGGTTTATAAATAATGGCATTTTGATATTTTGTGATAGCATTTTTTTATTGAATAAGGGTGGCAACAAGCACACAGTTCACCTGATGGTAAGTGAATGCTGTAGCCTATAGACATCTACATTTATCCTCTATTAAGAATCAAAATGCAGATGCGTTATCACCCGTGAGGATTAAGATGGAATGCCTCGTTTCCAATAAAAAGGGTCTCCGGTTCTCTACACTCACCATACGGAAGACAGCATCTTTAAGGTATATTTTACGCTGTTAATATGTGAGTGTGGTCCTTCCCCGGTCGAACCAATCCATTTATGCTACAACCATAATATAGCTGCAGCGTGGCTCTACTACGTAGTGTTTTATTCATATAAATAGAAATTGTAACATACCTGTCTCAATATCTGAGTGCTTGTTAGTACCCTTGTCCCACATAATAAGTTAGGGCATGTGACATAAACCGCAGATGTATTAAAGCATGTCCTACTCGTATACATTAAGCCTCCTGGAGCGGTATTTAAATAGTCAGTCCTTGTTAAGGGATCTATTTCAATTAATTGAATAAATGGTGGTCTGTAAAAAGTTAATAATTATCCCTATTATAAATCATTCATTTTAAAGTTTGAGTCTATGTCAGTAAGATAACTTTACCTTATTATCAGACCAGTTTCTCGTCGGCAAGCATCATGCGCCCACATATAAGGATTTTTGCATACAGGATACCAAGTTCCCTTAAAGTTTCTGTGTAGAAATCCTTCAGTATTTGAAACAGCGAATAACTATGCGAAACAGAAAATAATAGTGTAATTTTATTCAATTATTATATAAAGGATGATTTTTCAATCCGCAGATAAAATGTATTCACACACAAATACAACATAAACACATTAAAAATTACAGTTGTATGAATGAAACAACTCAATTGTTTTACTTTGATAGTAAAACAATTGAATTAGTAGTACTTAGTTACATTGTGAGTATTTTAATTAAAATATAATTAAACAACTCATGTTAGAAATAGTCTAATAGGAATCAACTCATTCCGATGAGTTAATCAACCATGTTTTCATAAAAATTTAATTCTCTTTTAATACTGTGATAATGTGATAGGCTTTTTTTACTTTTACTGTATTAATAGCATATTTTAACATTATCCCTTTAATGAATTACTGCCTTTATGTTACATTATCTTAAATAATAAATGACCCTTATACACAACAAGAGATTAATTTACATAGAAACTATGTATTTTGTTTTTCAAAAAGGGATATCAGTTATAAAATAATTAATGTAGGGTAATACAAAAAATGAAATAAGGTATTTTTGAATAATTATTGCCATAAAATATTTTTTTCAATAACATCTTACCGGTTTTTTGTGTAAGCTCGGAGCAAGTAAGCTGCAGTCAATTTCATCTTTATGATTAGGGCAATCAGCTACATTGTTGCATCTTTGATCATTAGAAAAACAAGTGCTCTGGGAGTTTTTATCAAAATCTTCACAACTGAACATATCTTCGTTGCACCCTTATATTGAAAAAGAAAATAGTTATTTCAGTGCTTACGAACTATTTTAAACTTCAATATCTTACCTTGATATTTGTTTTTTTTAAATAGGAACCTTACACTATTCGAAGTTAAAATAACTATTTTATAAACACTATTTGTAGAAACCGTTTTTATTTTAATATTTAAAATTCATGCATAAATATGCAAATGCATACAGTTATAATTTAAATAATAACACAAGTTCGATTACCGTAGCATCCCATTTCGTCTTCCCCAAAAGGACAGTCAAAATAACCATCGCAAATTCTAGATTTATCTACTCTAGATTTGCAACTACACCGAGCTTCATCACTGATATCAGTGCAGTCAACGCTTCCATCACACCACTGATTCTCAGAAATGCAAGCTTCACCGTTTAAACAAGGTCTCGTCTCTTCTGGGCAGGTGACATCATTTGTGGTTGAGTTAGAAGAGTGTTCTAAAGAAGTAGGCTCCGATCTGTAATTTCAATAATTATTTGAAAATTATAACAATAAACGATATAAGACATCGATCAATTACTTTGCTTTTTTATTTTAAATCTTATGTATTAAAACATTCTACTATAATAGTCGCTATTATAGTCTAAAATTATTTTTACTCTCTAAAACATACTTAGGGAAAAATTGCATTGCAATTTCAACGTCTTGGGGATGAATTTTGTGCTTTTCTACGTCATCAACTCTATAAAGTGGTGAATTCATCACAGAGGCAGCGTATCTGCAACATTAAAATATTAGTCTTTTTTCTCGTTAGTAATAAAATGTAACATTATTATAACAAACAAACATATAATTACTTGTCCGTAAACCTTGTGAACTGTGGATGAGTAAGTGATGCAAACTCTGCATTTGTATTGTCATAAACACCTACAACATAATAATAAGGGTTAAAACGCTTACATGCTTCTAAAATCATTTATTTTACGTGTATTGAGAAGAATTACCTTGCAAATGGGGATAGCTTTGCTTTAAAAGACGAGCTAGAAGACAGGTATCAGTTAGTTTTTCACGCGGATATTCGTGTTTGAGTACAGCAGGAGAAACATCGTTTTCACTTATGACCTTCAACGATTTGTCATGTCTTACTTGTAATGTGTCTCGTTTAGAGATATCAGTTGAAGTCTTTTCGCCAAACATATTTTTATTGTTAAATATATATTTATCTGCATGTTCCTTCATGGCTGTTTTATCACTTTCTGCATTTTTTGTCAAAAGCCGCAGCTTTGAAACTAAGTCTTTGCATATTTCTTCGTGGTTTCTTTCGCTACATATCATATTATGCTCCTTTATAATCTTCCTTGCTTTCTGAATATAAGACTCATCGAATACCATGCCTTTGTTATGATTATTACTAGCACTAATTTTAGCCGCTTGTATGGACGCTTGTCTCTTTTTTCGCTTTCCTGGATAATTTGATGTTTTATTGCGAAGCCTTAAATGAATTTCGACATCATCTTGAACTAATGTTATATTAGAATTTTCATTGAGTTCAGATAAAACTATAATTTCAGAATTTCTAAAATTATCTAAAAAGATATTTTCTCATTAATTATAATATTCAGATTCAGATAGATTTAATATAATTAATATTTGCAGGAATTGTCTTAGTTAAAACATACAATCAAGTATTTATTTAAATGGGAAATGCAGGTACCTGTTCTTACACACTCTATTTTACTATTGCTTGTTTTTATTTTACTTTCCAATACATATTGAATATTTTTCAAAAATTCCATTTTTGAACATTTACGTATATTTTTTGTATGAAGGTTGTTTGGAAACTTTGAAAGTTTAAGAATGTGGGTTAAGAATAGATAAGCGATCCGTTAAATACCTTTTGTACGCCGATAAAGTCGTGTTTACGTCATCAGTGGGTGGGTTGCAAATGATGGTAACTTAAATAAATGGATCATTAAAAGAAAGGGCGAACGAAAACAAGACGAAAGTGAGGGTTTTGGAAAGAGAAGAAAGTACTATAAAACTTTATGTGAAATCGGAGTAGAAGGAGTTGGTTTTGGATGAGTTCGTGGAAGGAGTTGGTTTAGGATGTTTGTTCAGCGGGGATGGTAGACATGACAAGGCTATAAAACGACTAGTGAATGCTAGATAAAGAGTAAATCACTCTATTATTGGAAGTACGAATGCGTACGTATGTGAATTCACAACGCTGTGTACCTCGGAATGTGTCAAAAAACCTTAATGTATGTTAGTAAAAATTGGGTACGGCAGAAGAACGCAAATAATAGTGTAATAAAGTGCGATACAGAGTATATTAGGGGTGACTCTGAATGACAGGGTGCGAAATTCTGTGATAACAGAAAAGTATGATTTACAAAAAGATATTGTGACCAGGATTAAAAAAGAAATACTACGGTGGTTTGGTCATGTAGAAAGAATGAATGGAGATGATTTGGGGGAAGAAGCTGCTCGCGTCCGTAGGAATTACTTGAACCTGGACTCCCTACACATATCCTCTAGGTAGTGCTTAACGAACAGCACTATATACTCTGGTGGTAGGTTGGTCCTCTTCTAGTGGGAGGCCCGGCCGAGGATTAGTTACCACCCACCTGGCAAAGACATACAGCCAAATGATGCAAGTCGTGTTCCGGTATGATGTTAGGTGAAACCCATTTCTTAAGGAGAATGGGTCTGGACAGTTGCGTTGCGCATAAGAACCGGTTGCGACGCGGACGTTTCTTAGTGTCAGGTGTCTGGTTATGGAGGTGAGTGGGATCCAAAGCATAGTTTCACCGCTGACAAAGCGTAGAAGGATTTCTTCGAGTCGTCATCGGTGGCAGCTCTTCTTGTCCTATCGCGACAAAGGGCTCAGGGGTCCGTTCTCTCCACAACTCTCTTCCTGCTAATTATAAATGATATGGTCGTTCCCGGTATCCATGGGTAAGCATACGATAGCACAGTTGTGGAGAGATACCAACCAAGTGCTCGGGCCAGTCGGGATCAAATCCAATCCGAAAGAGAAGCTTTGGTTGAGCGTGTGAATCTCACACTACAGGCAGTCTCTGAATGGGGCGATACCAAGCTAGTGAGATTCAACGGCTCCAAAACACAAACGTGTTTTTTTACTTTCCGGAATGTATACTTGGAGTACACTGACCGCCTTCAGTTGTTAGGGGTTGAATTTTCTCCAAACCTCAAGTATGGGTGGTTGCGGCGGTACTTCACGCCGGGACTGGTTCTTACCTTATAAGAAAGCGCAAGCCCGGTCGTGCATGTACTGCTGTCAAATATGGGCTGGTGCTGCAAAATGCCTCTCTTCACTGAGTCCAAATCTGGCAGCATTGGACTCAGTGAAGAGACGTGCTAAGGGCCTCATTGGTGACCTGGATTTAGTTGAAACCAATCTTGTCAGTAACGTTTGAAAATGATCTAAAATGCTTACATTCCCCATTTTAATAAACTCTTCAAAATTCATTATGAAACCATACTCACCATCACATTCTAACCACCAAAAAATTAAAATGTATATTCCGCCTGCCATTATGGTTAAAACAATTACAAAAACAAGTTTTTGTAAAACAGGGTAAAAGCATCTGTGATATATTTTGCGATCTGTAAAAATAAAGCAAGAAGCGTGAATTATAACTAAAAACCTGCAAAGTGCGAGACGAATTCACACATGAAGGGTTCCGTAATATTGCACCCTTTAATTTTTATTTTTATGTTTATTATTTGTTGTTATAGTGGCAACAGAGATACACATTCTGTAAAAATTTCACCTTTCTTACTTATTACGGATCATGATGAGACTGCCCGCTGACAGACAGACGGACGGAAGGACGAACAGCGGGGGCTTAGTAATAGGGTCCCGTTGGTTAACTTTCGGGTACGAAACCCCAAAAAGCTCAACGCCAATGCTTAATTTACTTTATTTACTTATATTATAAAATGCAGCAACAATTATTGAGATTTACCATTTTCATTAGATTCCGCTAAATCCATAGGAAGCAATCCAACTTGACTGTTGTTACTTTTTAGTTTATTAACTTCAACCATGGTTTTAAACAACAAACTTTTTCGCTTTGTTCTGAAAATTTTAATATATACAGGTATATTTTATATACTACTGAAAATAAATTAATATGGTTTGTTAGTGGTAATAATGTCACAGATCATCATCATTATCATTACAGCCCTTCACAAACCCACTGCTGAACATAGGCCTCCAAGGAATGCCACACAGCACAGTCCTGAGCCACCTACATCCATCGACTTCCTACATGTCTTACCAGGTCTTATATTTTGTACAAAGACACTCGTGGATTTCATGTTTAGATGTATTGTAATTTTCGCGTACTTCTGACACTGCATCCAATTAAATTTTCAATTTAGCCGCAAAACCGATTACGAGCGCGACAAGACAATGAACAAAATATAATAAAAGTTTCAATAGGAAATTAATCGAATGTATGTGGTACCTGCATAAGTGTGTTACCACACCAATTAACCGATCGTCGATCGATGCCATTGATGGAAATGGATCGATGTCGATCGATTGATACTGGTCGATAAAACGTTGCTCAATCATCAATCGAGGTCGATCGATAGGTCTAATAACACCCTAAGAGAGTACCATCATACCCTATCGTCCACTAGACTTACGAGTATATATCCCGCCGCCTCAGATGACGTAATTTTTCAGACTGTGACGAAAAATTCTCTAGCTGGGGAAGAAAGCAGCGTCAAATGTACCGAGATTGAATACGCAATTAATACAGTCAATTCTCCCCGTAAGGAGAGATATCCCTGTACAGATGTGGAATTTTACAGGCTAATGAAAAGTGGAGTTTTAAAGATATGTATATATTTATATTTTCATTTATTTTGGCAACAAAAAGTTTTATCTCTAGTGTAAATTTTATATAGGCTTCCACTTTACACTTAAGAAAAGGAAAAAATTGGGCCTATAAATCTACACTAAGAAATTATGTTATTTAAATTGTCGGAAACTATTTATTTTATTAAATTTTTCAATCGACTAACAAATCCTGTAATTATTAATAATTAACATTAAAAAAGTAAATTCAAAATATAGCCTAGATAATTCCCAGAACGGCCCTCTATTTGTTTCTGAAATTTCGTCACAATTGTTTTAGCCGTTACGAAGATTCGCCCGTACAGATAGAAAGAAAGAAAAACAAAGTATTTTTTGAATATAAAATGGTTATTTACGTCGTAATACCGTACGTCGTAAGTACCGCCAAATAACCTCCTAAGCTTAAAAAAGGCAGTTATTTCAATATAACAGACAGACACTTCAATTTTATTTATATGTATAGATGACTACAGCCCGAAAAAATCGTCTCGACCGGGGTAAGACCACGCCCTCACAGAATACCGCTGAACTAGTTGACTGTGTGCTCGTTTGTCGCTCTTATTCCATAAAAAAAGTGCTGTTTTATCACCTGCTACGCGGTGAAGAAAATCAGCAGAGCAGAGTCGGACTATTTTCGCCATATTCCTATATTAATATTAATACAATATACACATATTTTTAATGTTATCATTATATTAACAATTTTTTAACACGATGTAGAATAAAACAGAACCATTTATTTGTTTGAAAATGATGAACCTTTACACCTTTATGAATAAGACATCAAAAGGCGGGCTTAATGCCTAATGGCATTATCTGTCACTCAACCCCAGGTGTGATGAAATATGTGGCAGGTGCAAATTGACGTTATCGTGATAGCCAAGATGATGGAGTTTATGCTTGAGATATGATAGAGTAGTAGAAGTATTCAAAAATGAGAAAAAAAAAACAAGCACTTTACAACTAATAAATCTAAATGACTAAAACCTCAAGACTTTGTAGCATAGATTTGTTAACTTTCAAAATCCATGCAATATTATTGCAATATATTAAATTATGTACTAGGTGTAGTTACTATTAAAATCGAATCTTTATTATGCTACCTAGTAAAAATATTTTATGCAGTAAAAAACTATATTTTGATTACAATGTAAACAGTTGTATTTCAGTGACTTATAAATATTAAAAACGATAAAACATTATTGTAAAGTTATGGCATTAGTAAAATACATTACGTACGCACTAAAAATTATAAGGTATATAAAATAATTACCCATAAATACAATTTTAATAAAAAATCACACAAAAAATCATAGATTCTGTCTGTGCCAAGTAGTGAGACTATGACGGATTTAAGCTTAATTGTTAAGATTGTTTATTTTTTATGTTATAATTACTTCAAAACTTAGTTTAAAAGTGAGTTATATATAAAATTAAAAAACGTAGTAAAAGATTTATTCGATTTATGACCTTCATTGACTTGATTCTCTTTCTGATTCTTCTCTAATCGTAATTAGTTTAATTTAGACTCGGTAACAATGGACTGTTATTGCATAAAGCGGTTGGTATTATTGTAAAAATGATAAACAAACTAATAACACTTAGGACAAGATGACTGACATTGCAATAAAACGTCGTATCAATAACAGCCTTCGGCGTTTTAGTGCTATTAGAAGAAAGAAATACTAAACTAAATACACTATCACTTCGAGAGAAAAAACTGTTTCCTTCAAGTATTGTATAATAAATGTCAAATTTCTATATAATGGTGTCATTAATAATTCCAAGCCCGTAACAATTTACTTATTTAGGTATTTATTTACCACTTTATTACTGCCCATCAATATAAGTATTAAAATTACTCACTTGAATATGGTTTCCGAAAAAAATTATCATACGATATATTTTACCGATTAAAATGTGTTCATGATTTAATTAAACAAAATGAAGCAAGTCCGAAGTCACTAGCACCGCGCCACTACAGTCACTGGTGTGATTTTGCTGATCGTAATGCATGCAGTTAAGACTGAAATCGCCAGGTAAGCGTTTCGTTGAAATTATTGTAATAACAGAAGGAACAATTAACTTGAAGAGCTTACAAACTTAAATGAATTAATTATACTCTATACAAATAAATAAAAATATACTTGAATTAATCTATACTCTATAGAAATAAATAAAATTGAAGTGTCTGTTTGTAATGTGAATTTTACAGTTTTTTACTAAATGCATATGAAAGTAAATACGCTACTTATAACTAAAATACAGTTTTAAAAAATTTTGTCTGTCTGTCTGTCTGTTTGTTCCGGCTAATCTCCGAAACGGCTGGACCGATATTGACGGTACTTTCACTGGCAGATAGCTGATTTCATAAGGAGTAACTTAGGCTACTTTTATTTTAGAAAAAGAATTAGGGTTCCGCGCAAAAACATAAAAACACTAACACGCGAGCGAAGTCGCGGGGCACAGCTAGTATAAACATAATATCGGAGTGTTAGCGTAAATCAACACATTCTTTAATTCTCGTGCTCAAAAGAAGGAACCAAAAAATTATGTTTAATGTGGTTTTTTTTTATAGAATAAGGGTGACAAACGAGCACACAACCCACCTGATGGTAAATGGTTTCTCTGACCCATAGACATCTACATCTAACTTCATTTGCGAATTAAAATGCAGATGCGTTGTCAGCCGTGAGGAATAAGATAGAATGCCTCATTTCCAGTAAAATAGGTCTCCAGTTCTCTACACTCACCATACGAAACACAGCAGCATTAAGCTGCTATTTTACGCTGGTATTCTGTAAGAGCGTGGTCCTTCCCCGGTCGAGCCGACCCATTCGTGCTACAACTATACTATTAATATAGCTGCAGCATGGCTCTACCACATTAAAAACGTCCATGGCTCTGCCACGTCTTTTCGTTATCTCGTTATGTAATTAAACAATGTCATTTATTCCATTCTTTTAATGTATTGGAAATAAGAAAATAATTAATTCAATATAAACCGATATAGTGTAATAATTTCTGTTAAGCCTACAAGAAATTTCATTGCACCATGATCATCATTATCTTTATAATTAGAGCCTTTTAAAGTCTATCATTATCATCATTCATTATAACAGCCTATCAAAAGTGCATTGATAAACTTATAGCCTCCCCCAAGAATTACCAAAAAGCACGGCCTAAATCACGAGCTCAAGAGGGTTTTAGAGCGAAGAAGTATCCGCCGCGCTGCCATAATGCGTGTTGGCGAATTTCACATGCCTTCTAAATATTATTTTTTCTTATTTCTCAGACATGCAGGTTTTCTGACGGTGTTTTACTTAACCGCCGAGCACCTGGTAAATCAGCACTTAAAGTTGCAATTAACAATTTAATTGGTGCCAGCAGTGATCGAACCCAGGTTGCTCGCGTACTGAGAAATTTCCACCGAGCGCTTTGTCCTTGCGCTACCACGGCTCTACTTCTCTACTAGCAATTACTTAGCATTAATTTTTTAGTAGAACTTGCATGTGGGTCTTATGCCATCTTTTTAAGAACTACATTTCTTTTATAGGATAGAGTGACAAACGAGCACACAGTCCACCTGATGGTAAGTGGTTACTGTGACCCATAGACATCTACATCTATCCTTAATAAAGACTCAAAATGCAGATGCGTTGTCACCCGTGAGGACTAAGATGGTATGTCTTTTTTCCAGTAAAAAGGTCTTCAGTTTTCTATACACTCGTACATTTTATTTAGCTATAAAAACAACGTTTATCAACAAACCAACATCTGTAAAAACAACTAGCAAAGTTTTTCTCACAGTTTCTTCTCTGATAAGACGAAAATCATTTTGAAGTAGTCACATTTGGTAGTACATTAAACATTGACATTCGACTAAAAGAAAACAATTCCTTAGGTCGAAGAATAAGAAGATGTTAAACATTTTTCACCTACATCTATCTACTACCTGCATGTCATACCAGTTCGTCACTACATCTAGTAAAGGGGGCTGCCCTACTTTCTTTTGCTTACTGGTAACTAGGCTGCCACTCGACACCTGAAGTGTATGAAGTAGAAAAACTCCAAGAGCAGTCCTCTGCATAGCTCCCTGAGTGATCTTGAGCTTCCTCATACGGCTAGCAGTGAAGAGCTATATCTTACACGCACTGGTTGGTCAATCTTGCCTTTAAAA